GAGCGACCCTATCGGCGGCGTCGACGGCTCCGCTTCCGGTTCTGGTCTTCATCCCTCGATCACGAGGATGCGTCTTATCCGATCGAGAGATAGCGTTCGTTGAATCGGTCCCGCCGACGACCGACCTCGCTCGACGATCCATCGTTTTCCATTTCCGTCCGATCGGTCCGCATTAAGGATTCAAATAATGCACCGTAGAAAGTGCACGTGGGCACGCAACCGAACGCCAGGAAAAATGCGCGACGAATTGACAACGGACGGCTGTTACCATTCGTACAGATTTACTTTCACTTCGTCGAACGGCAGTCGGTTTCGTCGGTGTCTTGTCCGGCAGGGTTCCGTCGCGATCGTCGTCTTGTGAAGTGACCCGATATCGTCCGTGGCGACAACGTACGCAATGACTTCGCGTCAGAAAGATGAACTTCTTACGAGATTTGCATACATCCACGAGACTGACGGCTTAAGGATCTATACACTTCTCTTCTCGCTGAACTTTGTTCTTTTATTATTGTTTCCCCACTTCTCCGCATCCCGTCTGCTATGACGATCTATATATGTCCCTCTTCTTGTGTTCTCCACACGGGACCTGAAACCGTGTGGCATGGTGTAGGCCTCCTGGGGATCCCCGCCATGTAAAAAAACGGGAACGCGTCCCGGCACAGTACCCCTAGGGTGACGAGGAAAGCTGTGCCATTTTGTCCTCTGTTTACTGCTCTTCTCTGATTTCCGTGCGCTCCTTCTGGTCCCTCGTGACCCTTTCGCTCCTCGTTCGTAATATTTTAGTACGGTTTGCACCCGGTCCACGCCGTTTCGCCTTCTGTTTACGCTGCGGATCGAAACTGTACCGTTCTTCTCCGGTTTCATCCCCCGTTCCGTTCCCCGGTGACGCTTTCTCGCTAGTTTCTCGTGCTTTATTGTTGTTTACCGGTGCACTGTCGTTGTTTTCATCTATATACGTCGATGCCGGACATATCACGGAAGTTCTTTCTTTGCTTTCGTGTTCATGAATCGTTAACGGCGATAAGGAAATCATATTTCTCACGATCGAAGTTGAGTTTGGAAAATGGGAAACGTGCGAAAGGGTTGATAAGCCTCGTCGTAGATCAAAGAAGGAGAGGATGGTGCTCTTAACTGGATTTAAATTATTCTTTTGATGCCTCCGTTCAAAAGGTGTCCTCAATCCACCCCTGTTCCACTTTTCCATCCCCTGAAGCACAACTTCCATCCCACTAAAAATCGAGTAACCGTTCCATTTCCAACGACTTCCCTCAACCTCGAAGAATCTTGTAAATAAGCGATTCAGTAGCATCGACGATAAAAAATGAAATATCCCGAATGAACATAATTTACATTAGCGACCATTAACGACCCTCGGAATGTCATTATTCGAACGGGAAGCTGTCTCGGTTGGTCACAGGAAAAAAGACCGTTCTTCGACAAATGTTAATAACAACTCCGAACGCCACTAAATCCTCCTCCGGGGAATAAAACACAGGACACCGCAATAAATGAAAAATAACGTAAACACTTGAACGGCCTCCGATCACTGGTCCTCTGAATAAAAATCTGCCGCAGATGCGGCGTGCGAACGTGGTAAAATACTGATCATAAATCGCCGCGGCCGGCGTGAGTAAGAAGTAAACGGTATTTATCGCACAATCCGATAATTTCGAAGCGCAATCGAGTGTCCGTCGTTCGCGCGCTCGTCTACCGGCGGCCGCGCGTGTTCCCCCGGCCGATTAAAAGAAGAACGCGTATCGATTGTGTGTGGGGGCCCGGCTGCGCGCGGAATTTCACTTTAATGGGAGAAATTTGTACCTGTTAACCATTAAACCGTTCTCGCCCCATTTCTTGGCCGGAGCGCGGCGCGCCGATAACGATCGTTGTTTCGCTGGAAAGTTTGATTAAAAGCTGGCCGCGGGAAGCGGCGCGGAGTGATTCATTGTTCTCGGAAGCGCGTTACGTCGCGCCGGCACGGGAACAGGTGACGGCGCTCCGGCGGAGGGCGGGGAAAACGCGGCGCGGCCCGCGGAAACAACGGCGAGACCGTTCTCATTGTCCGAAAAACGGTTCCGTCGTCGCGGACTCGACGGTAAAAGTCCGTGCGAAACTCGCGTCGTCCGTCGAGGGAACAACAACAACGGCGCCAGGCGAAAGCCTTTCTTCCCCTTTTGTTCGCGGAGGAAAACCATCGGCGTGGATTTTCTCCTCGTAATATCGCTGAGTGTTTCCCTCCTCGCGGTCCCCTCGCTAGACCGATGGGAACGTTCAATCCCGTCTTCTCCACCTACCGTAATCCCCTGGATGCACTTTCGATATTGAGCCTCTGTCCTCTTTCGCGTTGTTTGCCTGGAAACGTTATTGAATTGCCTTGGGGATAGCTGGAAGATGTTGACCTAGCCAACTTGCCGCACGCGTTTTCGAAGACGCTTTTATGTCGCCTCTGGAAGGACGGGCTATTGCTTTGGACAAAGAGGTGATTCTAGATGGTATTTTATCGAAGTGTATATTAATTGGATAGATACGGGTTGAACAGTATCAAGGTGGACGAAGATAATCATCTGTAATATACGAGAGTAACGAGAATATCGTAGGAATGTCGTGCCACTTTGTTGAATCGAATGATTGATAACTTGGGAACGAAACTGAAACCCCGATTATTAACCTTCTGCTTGGTTAAAACATGCAATCTGTCAGTCTGCGGAATATGTATTTAATTCTTCGCCGATATTGCGCTGGAATTGAGATGCAGCTCGACCTATATGTTAGATGCACCTTGCAACATCGTTGCATGGCTTCCAAGGGTGGGGCCCGCGGAGGATAGTGATTTCGGAGAAAGTATCCGGCATCGGTTTCCCAGATTTAACGATCCAGAATCGGTTGGATTAAGGAAGACATTGGGTCAGCCGTTTACTCGATCGAGGCCTCTCGATATTTCACGCGGCGCGATTCAATTTGTGCCGCGCGACGTAGCGCTCTGGTCTCCGGTGCATCCAATTTGTAACGTTCGCGAGGCGTGAGAAGGCGAAACCGCAGCGCGGCCGCGCATTAGCCGGCGCGAGGGAGCAAAAAAAAAGGAAAAACAAGTCAATTGATTATTACAAAACGACCGGGTAATATCTCTCGCCGCCTACTTACCTACTTATCTGCGCGGCAGTGTCCGTCGTCGTCGGATTTCGAGGCTGCGACGAAAAACTTGCCGGACGGCCCCCTTCCACCGGTCCCCGATGATAAACCATTGACGCCGGACGCGCATTAGGCAACTCGATTAAAGACAGGATTTTTCGTGGAAAGGGAAACTCGATTCTAACGAGCCTCTAAAGAAAGTATTAGGATTTCCTTGGTGATACAACTGTGGCCTACTTTCCTGGCCGTCCATTGTCGAATCGGTTTCCTAATCGTGAACACGAGGGCCATTATCACTATCAAATTAAGAGTCACATGGAAACTCTATTTAAATCAAATTTGGTTATTCAGAGAATGATGTGTCGGAAGAAACTTCAAAATGTTGCGTATTAGTTGGACCGTTTTCGTAGAAACCGCGATTATAAAAATTCCGTGCTGGTTAAATCGATATTTTTGAAATCGCAGGTTTCTCTGATAGGATCGAAGGTGTTCGATGCAACTTTTTCGTGAAATCGTGAATTTA